TTACAATCCGTTCAGTGGAGATGTTAGGAAATTGTAATTTTTTTTTTTTTTTTTAAGTAACAAGATTATCTTATTGTGTAATATTACAAGACCAAATTATAATTCATTTTAATAAAGTTTAATTGTAAATAATTATTCTAAATTTTAATAAATGAACACGTTACTTTTTACTCATAAATCTTTTATTTCATATACTTGTTTTCAACAAATAAGAATTTTCTTATATTTACGCGATTAAAATAGTTTACGTTTTATATTGCGTGCAGGAGTAGCTGGAACATTGGAACATTTTTCATGAAACATATCTGGCGATGTATTATATCGATTGAAAAAAAGCGGTCCGTCGTATTCGTCGGCTTGCTGTTAAAAAAAAAAAAAACATATAATATAATTTTTCATAAAAAATTATGCTATTAATTACCATAGTTTGAGGTGGATCAGGCGAAGCCGTATAGTGCGGCGGTGAAAGAAATAGCGTGGAAACTCCTGTATCTTGATCAGCGTATGCCTAAAAAAAGAATATATATATATATAATAATTATAAAAATAATATATAATTGCAAGAAGAAATATTTCTTTTTATTGACTTACCAAATCATTTTCCAGTTTATCAAGGATATTGTCTGCTAGCTGCTTGCTTGCCAGTACTTTTAACTGACTTATAAAACTAGATTCTTCGTCAGCAATATCGCATTTGATTAACTCGTCTCCAATATTTCTTATTTTAATAGTCATATCTTCTACGGTAATGGGTTGATTGAATATCTTTTTCATACATTTTGTCATTTTATTAAACTGTTGAATCACTATAGGTAGAGTATATTTTTTTTTCGACTCTATCGTTTCGAATATGCTTGTTTCGAGATTCTGAAGAGTTAAAAGATCCATTCGATTCAGTAATACACGGCACCCTTTCGTCATATTTGATTCAATGACCAAAACATTTTCATCACGATACCTCATCGTCGATAACTTATGTTTTTCGGTGTCCAGAAAAATTATTTTCTTATGTCTTGCACCGAGTATATTTGAAAATATGTGGCCCATCAATGAAAACATATGTTTTAAAAACTCGGGCGTAAGAAGATGTCATTATTTGAACTGTTATGTTGAAGTCGTCTGTCACATCTAGTCCTATTGTAATAAAATTTCGGGCATTAAAGTCCAAAACGTATTGAGTTCCATCTATAAGTTCTACAGGTGACATTGGTGGAACATATGTATATGTTTTCGTGAATGTAGCTGCGTTGTCGACGATTGAACCGGCCATTATTTAGTATTAAGACACTTGGTGAAAAATGAAAAAAAGACGTGTACTAGTTACGGTGCACGGAGAGTGACTAATTTTAGATAACTCTTTTCAGAGTCTTAATGATTTAATTTTATTACTGTAAGGGTGGGGGGAGGTTATCGAACAGGTCTCAACTGGCATGTATCATGTGCATTATTTTTATTGTAAATATTAGGACGATGTTATGACTACGTATAACAATTTTGTTTACATCAGGGTTGTAACTTACCATTCGTCTAGACAACATCATAATGTTATGACTACGTATAGACTATTCATCTTTTTATCAACATCATCATTTATTCGAAATTATTACGTTAGATTTCAAGGACAAATAAATCTTACGTTTCTATTTATCAACACTATTATATACAGAAAAAATTTGATAACGATAACGTTGTAGCAGGTAGTGAGAGGGAGGGGGATCAGCAAGGACCAGCTATCTACTGTATACGTAAACGCCGGTTGGGTAACAGGGGTGAGGGACCAGTCAGCGGCGGCGGAGGACCAGCAAGAACCAGTGAGTGGCGGTGGCAGTGGGGGGACCAGCAAGGACCAGCAAGGACCAGCAAAGAGAACAATGGATTTCCTTTGTCCTAGGATCGGCAAATATATACTACTATTCTTTGTAAGAAATCAGAAATGAAGTAGGCATTATTTCCGGATGAAGTATCCGAATAATTAAGCTACAAATATACAGCCCTCTGGAATCAGTCGTTTCGTCCACCATAATGTAAATGAATTGGTTAGTTAATTTTTCTCGTATTTTCGTAAGAATAGATTCAAAACATATTTTTAAGTAATTTTTTCGTAACGTACTTTCATCTGGAATATTCTGACATATTTTTGTAAAAAATTCTTAAATGGTGTCGACTAAAGTTTATTGAAAGGAATATTTGTGGCTACCAAGGCAAAACACATATCTGTTAAAAATTCGTTTCGACTAGCCATTGCTGAGGTGGTTTCAGATATTAACAATTGCACCGGATTACGATTATTCTTTTTAGTAGTAGTCATTTGTTGGTTTACAGCTAATAAGAACAAAAAATAAATAGATAAATTGTTAATAATTGACTACAACAGAAAATTAGTGTTAGCATAGGTACGTACTTAATTACAGTATGCGTCGATTTGTGATTTACGTTCACAACCAATAGCCTTACTGCACGACGTGCAAAATATAATTTTGCCTTCTGTTTTCAATTCTGGATATTTTTCGATCCAATACTTTATTTTAGAACATTGACTACTACCAATTTTCGGCATTTTAAATTAAATAATAATAAGTAATAAGTATCAACAATAAAATTGTTGAATAAAACGTGAATAAAATTACGGCTGCTGCGGATAGACTGTAGTACTGTATGTGTACCTATATGTAATCGATAATCTATCGAGTTTCGTAGTACAGTCATAAACTTAATTACGTCGTATTATATCGATGTATTTATATATATATATACATCGATATATTATTATTATTATATTATTAGATATAAAAATCCGATACTTCATATAGATAACAACACAAATTAGCAACGATAAAAATAATACAAATATATTTGTACAAAAGTAAATTTTTATAAAAAAAAAACCCGAAACTTGCAATTTTGTGCAAAAACCCAAAAACATGCAATTTTGTGCAACATAAAACTTTCTTTAAATTAATCTAAATTTTTTGATTTGAATTTGTAGCTTGTTTCTATAGAATTTAGAACACGCCATAAAAAGATGCAATTGCACGGGAATCCGGTCTTTAGCGCCTATGGAGCTG